AGTTGCAAAAGCTATTTCTAGCCAAAAAAGTGCCCAGTCGAAATGATTCTTTAAAACAAAAAAAGGGGGACCGAGGTGGGGGAAATAATTGGGCCCCTTAAAACCACACGGGTGGACAAGCGAACGGAAACGTCCCAGCGGTCAAATTACTCGGATGTGGTCCCTGGAATGCTACCCACAGATTCAGAATGACGAAATCCGGGGAAATTCCGTGTTAAAAGAACCTCCAGAGTAAGCGTAGAGCACCAAGGACACTGAAAAGAAGGTCCTGGGCGATCTAGTCTCTGATGGTGGGGGAATATGGTCGAAAAGAAAGTGGCGAAAAAATTGGATGCTTATCGCTCAGGTGACTGTCTTTGATGCCTGGCCAATCAGGCAGACAACGTTCCTGGGTTTTACTTATCGCAACACATCCAGTGGAGGGAACCGAAGAAGGTAAGGCTTCGGAATATTTGGGAAGTCCCTCGCACCACTCAATACCATCGTACTTGATGCCGTTGCATGGGGATTTGTGGCCATGGCTTTCTCGCTATCGGAGCCAGGCAGAAAGCGGAAACATCGCAGTGTTAGGAAACCGCCTGGGCGATATGGGTCATAGGTACTTGGCGCTCGTGGCTTTCAATATGTCGCATGTGGGAGATGAGCTGGCGCCAAAGGAAGCTTTTCTTTGGTCTCGGCTCTGGTCTAGTCCTGGGTACGGAGTACATTGGAGCATGTTAACCAGTACAGAGTACATAATATAACACGCGGATGGTGGAAAATTGGCGTTTCCATAGTCTCGGACAAAATCCTGTTAGGCCCATCAGCATTGACACAAAGAAGAGATCAGGGAGGTTGGATGTTGGATGTTGAAAGTTGGATGGGAGGCACATCAGCCCTGGAGAGAGGGGAAGCTTTGTAAATTACCGTATCAAGCGGTCTACGGTATTCAAATGTCTATGTAATTTGGCTGCCTCCATGCATATGGCAACAGGTAACTATATGTAGGCATTGAATAAATTATAGCAATATTTCCATTGTCCTCAAGTCGTTCTCTTCAGATGAGACAAACTTGCTGTCCTATCCTCTTGCCAGTCGTGGACGCCTTTACGCCGATCCAGTAGAAGGGCGAGAGAACTTGGTAGCCTTTCATTCATGGACTTTGAAGATCGCGGGGATTGTAATACATGATGCGCGTGTCGTGGTCTTTTAGGAAAGGCATTTCGACGTTCCAACCATTGGCATTGTGAACATACATGACTTTGTCACCAAGTGGCTTATCCTCTCGAGGCCATCTTATAAGAGCCCAGCCACGCTTTCTGCCACACCGGAGCACATAGACTGGGAAGATCTTTGATCTTGTGAGCCGTATTGAAGTCGTAGTCAAGATGATTACTGTCGACAACAATGAAGGTACGGTCACCCCATACATCAATAGTGACAAATAGAACCCGCGGGTCGTTTTTCTCAGCCAGGAAAAACCTCGCTAATAACTTCGTTGGCTGAGACGCGATAATTTTGAGGAATGCAGCCTTTGAGTCCTCCCTTCAATCACAATTCGTTTTGCAACATCATTTCCCAGATCTCGTTCTGTATATCAGAAAGGCCTATAGTCGCCATGTAGCCACGCGTTTGGGTGTCTGAAGGGGTGGTATTTTGGATGTGTCCGAACACAGGAAATTCTGGGGAAGAGAACTCGAGATAAAGGCCTGAGAAGGATGCTACGTCCATAGGTAACCATCTCTTCCTATATCTAGCACTGTCGATAATAACACTAATCCCAAAATAGCAGTGATGCCTAAAATGCCTACCCTTCACCTCGTCCTGTTCATGGATATAGTAGTCGATTTCACTTCATTCATCAAATTGGCCGCAGGAATATATGACTGCTTTGCGCATTTGCCTAGTGCTATTAATTCCTGGTGATATGTAGGAAAGTCATGTGAACGGTTTACATTTGTGCCTTCGTATGTTGTACATTGTAGTCATTGCTGTACTTCTGTAGTCGACTATTGTTTTTCTACCTATAACACCGTGAAGAGGAAATAAATTAATATCTACATATATATCTCGAAAAGAACAACCAAAAAAGGCCATTGGAGGGTTATTTTACATATTACCCGTGGGCATCCCTAATATTATCTTGAGCGGGCAGATAAAGTAGATTATTAAATTTTTATGTCACCAAGGATAGAGGACGACACTCTTGTCGCATGGAGTAATAGGTTGGAAATTGCGGTACCTAACAGTCTTGGTTCTTTTGTTATCCTAACTGTAATCTATTACAATTTAAGCGAGGGGTCAGCTCGCTGAAATTAAAACCCGAGAGTGTTGACAGGCAGCGCTTCTGTCACATAACTACCACGATTTTAACTGGTCATATCAACGATGGCCTGGACTCTCGTTGCTGCTATCATTACACTTCTTCTTTTCTATCTTTGGAGAAAGGTCATATATTACCGAACAAAGCAATATGCCTGGTTGCCCCAGCTTCCACCATCCCTACTTTGGGGCCACTTGTACACAATTGACAAACTCGTGAAGGCAAATCGGCCAAATATACACATCGGTCGGATGAGACACATTTCAGCGTGGAATATAAACTGACAGTGGTTGCTAGATGAAATCTTCAAAGCTATGCACAATTATCTCGGCAAGCCTGCGCTATTTATTGTCGATTTGCGACCAGTGAGCCATCCCATGTGCGTGATCGGCGATCATAATGTTGCAGAGCAAATATCCAAAATCTCGAAGCTGTTTCCGTACAGTCCCCCCAAGTCACACACATCGCACTCGTACAGTGATCTGATCGGTCCACTCTCAATTGTTCTTGCAGAGGTAGGTTGAAGGGTCGATCGAGGTGCATACAGGTTTATACTAACTGAAGTCCAGAAAGAAGAGTGGAAAAGCCTTCGCAAACTGTTGAGTCCGGGATTTTCGCATAAGCATCTCATCAGTCTGATGCCATGTATTCTAGAAAAGACACAGCTTTTCTTGAAGAAGCTTGATCATTATGCCAGCATTGACGAGGAGTTTTCACTGGATGAACTATGTACAAATTTGACATTTGACATTATCGGCGCGGTCACCATGGATATTGATCTGGATGCTCAACTGGGGGAAGAGAAGCAAAGTGAAATCGTTCGACTCTTCCGCAAACTAGCGTCAACTTGGCGTAGCGGCTATAGCGGATGGAAAATTTTACTCCCCCTCCAGAGAAAGTTGATCTCTCGTCAACTTGGTGCGCATATCAAAGAGCGTATCAAGGAAAAGTTTGAGGGGCAGTCAAATTCACAAAATTGGTCTCGCAGTGTGCTTGCTCTAAGTCTAACCCAGACGCAGGAGTTAACGCCCGAAGTTCTAGACCGGACTTGCGATCAACTCAAGACTTTCCTATTTGCTGGTCACGACACAACAAGCATCTTGCTACAATGGACATTCTACGAACTAGCTCGAACCCCACACGTCTTGCGCCGTGTTTGCATGGAACTGGATGAGATCTTTGGTCCTGACTCACACCCAACCCACATTCGAGATCAAATCTTAGAACATGCAGAGAGTGTTCTCCAAAGAATGATTTACACCTCTGCTGTTATCAAGGAAATTCTTCGTCTGTATCCACCAGCTGCGACAGCGCGATTTTCCACCCCGAACACTAGGTTGAGCGTTCGACTACCAAATGGTCAAGACATGTGTCTGGATGGAATGATGCTCTACAACTGCCAGAGTATAATACAGCGTGACCAAGCCGTGTATGGCGACAAAAGCGATCAGTTTATCCCCCAGCGCTGGTTGGAGACTGGCTCCACCATACCGGCTAGTGCTTGGCGGCCCTTTGAGCGTGGACCACGCAACTGCATTGGACAAGAACTGGCGAATATCGAAGCACTTGTGATTCTCGCATGTGCGACACGGCGATATAATTGGGAGAAAGTAGGACTTGGGTCAACCAAGCGGGATGAATCAGGTGCGCCGATTGAAAAAGAAAACGGACAATACGAAGTCCAGTCAGAGCTTTACAATGTAAGTATCCGGCAGGGCTCCCTGCAGACCCGCAGGTGATATGCGTTTACTAACAAAGTTCAGACACTGGAGATTACCTCCAAGCCGGTGGATGGAATGAGGATGCGAGTGAAAATAGCAAGAACATAAAATCCAGTTGGCCGGCATTTATATTGATTCACATGCAATATAACAATAAACCTCCTGAGCAATGCAAACATGAGTCTACAAGAACGAGCTCTTTGACAACATCCAAAATTATTATGAAGGGTGATGGCTGGACGTATGATGAGACATTTCATGCAGCCAAGGGCTTCTGCCCAGATGTCAGGTAAACTAGGCTCGAGTATTCGACCAGCGAAGAGACGAAGAGAACAAACTGAGAAACAGATGTATTCGACTAGAAAGGCAAATCAATAGTCAGGGCTGTCAGACGACTCTTTATCTACATGGTCATTAGCGTTTTTACCCGAGACATCCAAATAGCAGTATACAGGATGGATTAGCCAAGCTCAATAATAACCTTGGAAGGTATGCAGAGCAACTAATAATACGAAAATCTATAGATAGATACTGTTTCCTGACCACAAAGCAAGGGATAATTGCTGAACGAGACGAACATCCCTTAGGTAACCAAAGGAAGAGGCAATATTCTGTAAAAGAGAGGCTTGGCTGAGTACAGAAATGTAAGCCACTATACAATATACGAGACTGTACACATTCCGCAGCTCGCATCCCCGGATCGAGATCGGCTACGCCGATCCCTCCTCACGCCAAGCAGTCGGGGTTTTAATCCGAGTCAATGTGGAGAGACTGAGTGAAACATGATCACTCAGATCTCACAGACTGGGTTTCAGAGCCCAAAGCTATAATTAGGGGGTCTTCATGTCGTCGGTGGCACGATATTGCAGGCAAGACCATAGTATTCTCTTATAAAGCCCTGATTCTCCTATTAGCGTTGAATACATTTCATTCGCAATCCTCCCTCTTACCTACCGTCGAATCGCCAAAATTCCAAGATGAAGTTCACTACAGCAATTGTCGCTTCCCTGGTGGGAACCAGCACCGCCTTGTTCGACAAGAACCTGCGTATGCAATTCTATACTCATTCGCAATGGTTTAAACTGACAATTCCTTCTTTTGAATAATTTAGCCTGGGGCAAACGCGACTACGCCTGCGTAAACGTCTACCAAGGCATCCCCGACAACTCAACTGTCTCTGCTGGCCAAGCCGTGCGTGTCAACTTCGACCGGAAGCCCACGGGACGCTGCCCAGACCCATTGAACCAATACCCCGGCGACGACTACAGCGTGTGGCTATACAATAACCCCGTGCGTAACATGGATGCCATTTCCTTCGACCAGTCTATCAAGATCACCGATGGCATTAAGGAGAAGGCGGGTGGTGTGGATATCACCATTCCAAAGGACTTGCCTCAAGTCAAGGATGGCTCGCTTTGGTATCTGAGGGTTGGGACTACTCTCTCAACGGCACCGCAGGTATGTTCTTTCTTTGTTGATTTTACTTTTTCTGGGGGTGGAACTGTGTGCTTTCGGGCTGTGATTATCTTGGCTTTTTGTTTGATTTCAGGGGCTAATCAATATTATGCAGATGCCTAGCTTGTTCAACGCTGCTGGACCATTTACGGTTATTCGTGCATAGGTACTTTGGGCTCGATTTAGAACTTGGTTAAAGAGGGGGTATGATCTGATTTATGCATATAGTAATTGTCATGTCACTACCATATTTTATCACTACCATATTTTACCACAGTACGCCGGCACAATGAATTGCAACATGTATATTGAGTTTGGATTCAGGTTCCAGGCAGAAGTGACCCAAGCCTTGTCTCTAAGATACTATGAATAACTTGGTCATCAGGCACCAGCCTCGGGCTAACCATGCAGGATTCCGTAACGTCGTCAAAAATAAACCCCGATAATAATTTAATCACGGAAGGAAACACTGAAGACCTTGTAGCCACTGGTGGGTTTAGCCTGGCTACCTTCAGCATTCAAGTGTCCCTGCTGGTCAATATCAATGTACCCCCCTCTCTCCACAAACTGCATGGTATAGCCAAGGCCACCGCCTAAGAAGGTAAAATGCACCTGAGCCGCTTTTGCGCTTTGGCTTTTGGGAAGCAAAGCACCACCGGGACCGACCCATCGTCCATCAAGTGCGCTAGAGATGGTAAATGTATGGCTTTCCTCGTCGTTGTTGTAGTGGATTACCCAACGCTGGGATTTATTGTCGTGCGAAGGGCTTGTATTGCTGGATACAAGGCTGTTGCCTCTGGATGGATTCGTGATGGCTGCTCCATTTTTCTCAAAGACTAGGTATCGGCCCTCGGTGAGGTAGCCGATCACCTCTTTGAAACCCTCTTCAAACCATAGGGTATTGACATCCGTTGCGTTGCTCTGTTCTCCGTACGGAACATCCGGACGTGTCTGCTTGTGACGAGACTGGCAGTTAGATGTACCGGTATACTCGCCCCTTTCGTTGGTATCCACGGTCCCGGCATCCGGAAGATCCGGGAGAGAGTAGTCTGGATGGTCCAAATCAAGCGCGTTGACTAGATTAGACATGTGCGTGCGTCTCCATGAAACCATCTGATCGGTTGTGATATTTTTGTGTCCCCGTGCTGTCAGCCATTCCTCAACGAAGAGAATCTGAGAGTTATGATCTGCCCGCTCAGTGAACACGCGGTTTCCTCGTGTCCAGGGAGAGATGATATAGAATGGTACTCGGAAACCAGGCCCCACAAAGATATCCGAGAACATACCCAGGGGGTCTTGCATCCACTCACCCGGGGTGTTCTTAGGGGAGTGGAAGGGGGTGACATGGTCGCCAAAGCCACCAGTCTCATCAAAGCTGATCATGAGAAGCGTCGAGTTATACTTTGGGCTACTGGTAACGGCGTCGACGATCTTCTTCTGGAGCCAGCCTCCATCCTTTGGCATATATGGCGGATGCTCAGACAGCTCGGTCGGGCCAACAATCAAACTGACCTCGGGCAATGTGCCGTTGGCGGCAGCCTGGTAGAAGGAATCGAGGCCAACAAAGGACATACCCTTTTTGGCCAAAGGGCTATTTTTGGACGCAGTTTGAAATTGCTGGAACCAAGCCAGAGGATTATCATCGAAGTTGTTTGTGTATTGGAAGAGTTGCCAAGAGACTCCTGCCTCTTCGTAAAAGTCATAGACGGTCTTCCACTTAAGTGGGTAGCAGTTGATACCGTTATCATCACAGCCTGTATGATTTTTGGTCAGAACATGAAACCGCTAAGTCATAATTGCCTCTAGGGACACGAAGGTGAACAGAAGATATAGCTCACGATACATACCTGGTACCTCATTGTTATCAATGTAAACGCCTCCCTGGTCCTTGTCCTGGGGACTGCCAGGAACATTGATAGAGCCGCTGACCAAAGTAACCCGATTGGGATTGGTGGCAGTGATTTGACTTTCCTGTTTGCAAATCGGTCTCCAGTTCTTTTTGGAATAGACTCTGGCCACGTACCTGGTACATGTCTCCCGATGTCCAACCTTCAGCAATAGCAAATTGAACTGGAATATCTTGCCGCTTCAAGTAGCCCCAACTCCAGGGTGTGTTCTTAGTCACCCAGTGGTCGTTCAGCCCGTTGTTTAGAGATTGCTGGTTCTCCTTGTAGCCATTGCTACCCGCGACCATGCACTGAATCGCATCATGCCAGTCGCCACCTTGATATCCAAGATACCAGGGTAGCAAGGTTTTGGTCTTGTTTGACTGGGCCGGCTCAACTAGTCTGACCCGGAATATTAGACCCAATTTCTTCCCTTGGAGCTCCGATACGCCACTTACTGATGCCAGACTGAGTTTCCATCGGAGTTGACCTGAACATTGGGATCATTGAAGCCCCGGACTCCAGACATAGTGCCAAAATACTGCAATTTGGTGAGCACAGCGTAAATGTTTCATAGCGCAGGCAAAATGTACCGTGTCCCACGAGCGGTTCTCCTGCATGAAAATGACGACATGCTCAATGTCGCTTAAAGATCCACCTGAGACGGGCCTTGTTCCCAGGGATATCGCAATAGCGATACACACCAGCAAGTTGAGAGCCATGATTCAGTGATTGCAGAAGGAATGAACGAGGGGAAAGAATTCGACCGAGAAAAGAGTCCACTACTTATGTACCCCCAACGAGACATGCAGACAGCGGAGAAAACTAAGGTAGTACTACCTACCTAATGTAGGTAGGTGTATGTACTTACGGAGTCCCACAAGCTTTGGGGCTTGGTTACATCCCGAGGTCTGCAGACGTTGTTCCTTTATGGGAGCTCCAGACCGTCCAAGGAAAGAACGAATCGGAATATGGGGATTGGAACGCAGGGATAGGCTGACATTCTTGGCGATGCATGGCACCGATCATGTACAATGGAATAATGTAAGTCCGTATAAGTCGAGTTAGAGTGGGAGAAAAGGTGCAGGTGCATTGTTGATCCAATCTGATATGCGGGTGTCTCCACGTGAAAGTGTGTTCCACGGTTCGATCAACGCTAAACAGGAACAGACTTTCGGCAGGAACGATCTTGTATACTTTGGGCTTAGTCCAGGGTGCCACAGGTACTTTCCAAGGTTAGTCCATGCCTTATCACTCAAAATGTTTGGGAGAGATGCGCTTGGACATTTAAATTCAACAACTAATTTATTTCACCTTCGTTCTGATTGATCAAGAGGGGCACGTGTGTTGCATGGCTTTCTGTAAGGTCGCATCGTGTGGATCCCTTTGGCTAGCAAGGCATGAGGTCATAGCGCGGAGTGTTCTTCCGAGGTCTCCTCCGGCACTCACTTGGTACTCCGTACTTGATCTTCTTTATATATCTGATACTATCAAAGCCAAATCGGCTATACTCCTCTTCATTGCTAAACCATGCTGAGGCAGTACAGTCGGGATCAGAAAACTGCCCCTAGTCCGGAACGATTGGCCCCTCAACCAATGCGGGGCCTGTCAGAGCGGCCATGGCCGATCATGGGCTGCTCATTGGCTGCATGTTTGTTGATCGGACTGATGTATTTGCTCCAGTCATCCATCTTTCTCGGGCCCTTGATTTTACCTGGGGGGCATCATGAAAACATTCAGGAAGATGAGGCCATCACTGCTCGACCGCGGATAGAGCTTCACCCGGAGGATCATGTGAACCGGGCACCCGCGACTCAATATTTGGATTGGCGTGTGACCTCGGATTTTCGGAGACCGGACGGCGTATTGAAGCGGGTCTATCTCATCAACGGTTAGTAGAAGGAACTGACTGGTATTATGATTAAATCTGTCGATCTGACCGGAGGATATCGAACTAGGCTTGTTCCCGGGACCGACGGTGGAGGCCCGCTCTGGTGACACGTTGATCATTACTGTTACCAATGCCTTGCCGGATGAGCCGATTGCTCTCCATTGGCACGGCCTTCATGTGGCTAGTAAGCACCTGCCTTGTCAGATCTCGATTAAAAGCATCGGGGCTAACTCACATAGATGCCATGGATGGTGCAGTGGGGATTTCACAATGTCCCATCACTTCTGGAGGACATTTTGTTTACAATTTGACAATTCCATCCGATCAGAGTGGCACTTTCTGGTACCATGCCCATTCAGGGGTCTCGCGGGCTGATGGCCTTTATGGTGGGCTAGTCGTCCATGCACCAGCTTCCAAATCGACCGCTCCGGGCTTAATGCCCCGGAGGCGTGATAATCTCCCCCGTTACACCTATGACAGAGAACTTTTGCTTCTCATTGGGGACTGGTACCATCGCCCTGCGGGTGATGTTCTTGAATGGTATATGGACCCAGGGAACTTTGGAAACGAGGTGAGTTTTGAAGTGTGAACCCAAACGCTGGAGAGTGCTATCTGACACTGGTATTAGCCTGTTCCAGATTCCATGCTCATTAATGGAGCAGGGTATTTTGACTGCAAGATGGCGGTGCCTGCTAGGCCGGTGGACTGCATTGATCAGCAAGTGAACAATTCATTTATCAACCTCGATCCTCATGCGACATATCGAATCCGCGTGGTCAACACTGGGTATGTCACAGAATTATCAAAGCCAAATTAGTCATTAGCTGACCAGTCGACAGAGCTCTAGCCGGGTTGAGTCTCGTTTTCGACAACCATCTCCTGGACCTGCTTCAGGTGGATAGTGTCGATGTGGCACGCCCCAAAGAGAGAAATATAAATTCTATCGGTGTACTCTTCCCAGGGCAACGCGTGGATTTTATCCTTCGGCCATTATTACAGACCTCTGAAAAGCAGTCACACATGAGGATTCAGTTAGATCAAGAGTATGAACAAACTCGCCCAGCCCCACATCAGTGATCGGGGGTTGCTAATGTCTCTTCAGTTCCTTCAAGTACGCCAACCCAGCATTGACGCCAGATCAAACCTTCGCCATCAACTACCGTTCTGATGCCGTCGAGGGACCTCCACTGAAGGCGCACCATCTCAACATCGGAGGAACACCTTCTGCGCCTTCTATTCTCCGTTCCATTCCTCCCGTCGCGCAACAAACACATGTGGTCTACACCAAGATCCAAAAAATGGCCCGATATTCCAACAAGCCATTTGGTTACTTCAATCAAACTACCTGGAAGCCCCAGCAAGATCCACCCGTTCCATTGGCCTCTATACCACGAACTAAATGGGACGCAAACCAATTCGCAATAACTACAGGCCCGGAGCCTGTATGGATAGACCTGGTAATCAACAATCTAGATGAAGGATCGCATCCCTTCCACCTGGTAGGAACACCTCTACCCCCCGTACCCATTGGCGACGATCCACTAATCAATATCCACTCCAGCATGGTCACCACTTCTACATACTTGCAGTCTACCAAGCCGAATTTGGCTGGGGCTCCTACAATCCCTTCATTGACAAAATCCCACCACACCTGCAACCTGACTCAGGTGCATTGAGAAATGACACAGATGACGCCGAGAAGCCGAACACTGGTTATAACGGCGGTCTGTACGACACATCCCGGGCTGCTTTGCGTGACACAGTCCGGGTCCCAAGTCGCGGCTATGCTGTTCTCCGCTTGCGGGCAGACAATCCCGGCGTTTGGCTTCTGCATTGCCATATGCTTTGGCATTCGGCGACTGGTATGGCCATGTTGATTGATGTGCAGGGCGATCCGGCGGGAGTGGATGCGCACGCTGGCAACAGAGAATTATGTCCCCCTTCTTGAGATGGTCGATACGTCTTTGGTCTTGCGACTAGTCGACTGTCGTCACTTACACTCCGGACCCTAGCTTCTCATCTGTCCTGGATGCTTTCGTAGGTTATACAGATTGAGGCTTATGGAGCGACGAGTGTTACGACCTAGCCAGATTTCTCGGGATTAGACACATTCCCGACTGACTGCCGAAGCTCTTCAGTATCTGAACATGAATGTTGGCAATATTCGAATTTGGGTGGAATTTTGCCAACCCAACTCCAAGCTCGAACCGGAGATTATCCGAGATGAGCGACGATCCTCAGGGGCAACGGGAGATGGCTCACAGCCTATTGGAAAAGAGCTGACCGGCTCCGGAGTGCTTCATTCTCCATAAAAGACTCCATCGAGAACAGGTCTCGTGTTGATGCCAGTCGACTTTGGACGATATTGACAATCCCCAGAGCCTCAAATTGCGACTTTTCGCTTGATAATCCGGGGCAGCCCTGAGGTGACTCAGGTCACATTGTCATTTGGAGTCCCCCCAGGCCCTCATCCTTAAAAGGGTTCAGCAACCGTCGACAGATGCTATGGAAATTTCCATGAGGTCCAACTTCTCAGCGGTTTCATTGTACTTTTTACTCCGTAGGATGCCCCATCCCCGGGCTGTCAATACATATAGAAATACCTGCATCCACACATGATATGCTACCAGTCTGCCTACCTTGCAACGCATCATAAGCAAGGCTCACGAAAGAGGAGCCACTACTGGCAGCACAGAAAGCATCGAGATATGCGAGCGAACCGTCCGGCTGGTCCATCCGCACACTTTGCACCACGCCTTTCGTGTCAAAATTAAATACATAATGGTAGAAAAATCCAGCCATCCTCGCAGCGCGGATTAAACACAAATCAGCGTCAGAGAAATTGTCAGCCTCCTCTCGAAAGGTCTGCCAGAAGAGGCTCTCGAGTTCGCGGTAGCGATCGTGGTAGTGCCACCCTTATGAATTCATCCGGCCCAAAAGATCCTTAAGCCCGTATAGCGCGAAGCCAAACAGCAGAATCCTTGGTTCAGTCCAGTCGACAATCCCTGTAACATTTCCGGTTTTAGGCTTGGCGAGGACATTCATCACGTTAAGGTCGCCGTGGCTAAGAACAAGGGGGAGGGCTTTTGAGAAGAGAGACGGGAGCTCTTTGCGGACCCTTGATAGTATTATGCTGTCGGAACATGTCGTCTGGAGGAATGCCTGCCATTGTATGAGCACTCCCAGGAAGGTGCTCCATCTCGTAGACATAGACTGGCCGCGAATCACCTATAGTACCCAGATACTGCAGCTAGCCACAAATTCAGGATGAATCGCTTTGGCAGGGTAATGTTGCCCATATTAATAGTAGAGTTCTCATATCAGAACTGGAAGACCTTGGAGTTGGGCCCCGCTGTCACGGTATAGCTGCACACTCCTTGCATCTGTAAAGCAGTGGACACACCACCAGCGCGAGAAATGCGAATTCATCGCATTGTTGTCTTTTGACAGTAGTGTTCGAGTTGAAGAATCCCTCAATTGCGGCGTCAAGACTGTAAAGAACATAAGTCGTCATTGTGGTGAAGGGAAGTAGGACGGGGGAGGGAACTGGGAGATGTGATGTAAAGAGAAGTGAGAACTGAGTGGGCTGCTACAGAGAGCCTCGTTTGAGACCCACCGCCATTTAATACTGTCAGCGATGCTACGACCCGTGGACGAAAACCCCCTGTTGCTGTGCCACTGGAATAGGGGGGTGGAACGCTCCAGCCAGCTGCCTGTCATATTTTGAGTAATGGAAATCAAAGTGATTGACTTGCCCGTAGGTAACGACAATTCCCTGCACTCCAGCGCCACTCTAATGCACAGAACAGGACAACAACCATCAAAGAATTTTATTGTTCATCTCCAAACCAACCATATAGCCCTCATGTAATTTGAAATAGGAAACCAGGAATCCGGTTGGTTTTCATCGAGTTCAATTTCGAGTATTCCATCATTTGGGTCAGAAAATGAATTGATACATCTAAAATGTACTTACGAAGGCTGATTCTTTGTCCTCTTAGCCAAGATTTCATCAACCTCCTTGGCGTGCTTCGAGAAATTGTCCACCAAGCTATCCCACATCTTAGGCTCATGCTCATGCTTCTTATTACTGTTCCATGCGTAATCAGTAATTGTGAAGAGGCGGCAAGACTCGAACATGAATGCAATAGATGCCTCGGATATCTGCATCACTGGTGGTGCACTATCGGTGGCTTCCTTGAATTGTTCGTAGGCAACGCCATGGGGAACCACTATAGAAAGTATCAGCATCGACTCATATTCGATGGAAAAGCTTCCAGGATAATCATACTGCCACATTCGAATGACACACTCCCCGGCTTGAATTCGTCCGAACGGCCACCATAATCGCCATAGATTAGACCCATTAGTTCGGATGCGGCATTGCGGTGGTAATAGGGGGGCCTATATGTGTCTTTGAGATTCTTAGCAATGTTCGTGATTCAATACATTGACCAAACATACGTGAGGCAACATCCCATCGAGGAGAGAAAGTGAGGAAATCAGCCAAAGGTGCGGTGAGATCGCGGGATTTAGCCGTTAGAACACAGAAAATAGACGGATCGATGTGGTCCACAGAGATGGAGCCGACGTTGACAAACTTGGTCAAGTCATATTTATAGGGAACCTAAACGGGATTAGTTGACTGAGGTCCGAAGCCAACACTAGAATGCCACAAACTCACATAGTTTCCGTGCCAGGCTACAACATCATATGGGCTGTGGTCCTGAGTACTCTTGAAGAACTTGCCCCCAAGTTTGTAAACAATTTCCCACCGCTCTTGAGCTACCTCATACCGGGCAACAGGACTCAAAAAGTCCCTCTCATTTGCAAGACCATTACCACCAAGAGGTCCTAGCTCAGGGAGCTCAAATTGCGTACCCCAGACCTCGAGGATGTACCCACGCGAGGGACCGTCTGGAAGACTGACGCTAAAGCGGATACCGCGCTGGATAATAACAATCTCACCTGGCTGCACAAAGAGGGAACCGAATTCAGTTTGAATGTCGAGTGCTCCCTGCTGTGGAACAATGAGAAATTCACCATCGGAGTTAACAAACGCCTTCTTCTTCATGCTTGCGTTGGCGACATAGACGTGTGTGGCCAGGCCTTCTCGCAGTGTTGGATCACCTGAGCCGGCGATAGTCTTCAATCCTGAGATAAAGTCGACTTCTTCGTTCTCGGGGATATCAAAGGGGTGCCATGCTAACTGGGTAGGGGATACGTGGATGCGTGGGTTCAATAGTAGGAAGTTTGCCTCAGTTTCCTCGTTATCTGGGAGGTCTGTCTTTAACAGATGTTAGAAGTGATACCCGCAACCAAAGAAAGAGTCCTTACAAAGCCATGGTGGGCGACAGCAGGGCGGATACGGTATAGCCACGCCTTTTTATTGCAGTGTCGTGGAGCCACAAAAGCAGTGGCTGTCATCTGCTCGGCGTAAAGACCAAACCTCACATTTCGAGGGCTGTTTTGGCCATGCGGAATAGTTCCAGGAATTGCTTCGGATGTGAAGCTTCGCAAGGGTTGTTAAATCAGCCCTTTGAACTGCTAGCCTTGGAGATGTAGGTCATGCAAGAATACATACGCATTGCCAAAGCCGGGTTGATACTACTAATAGTTAGTGAGAGGCCTAGTAGCTTAGGAGATATCATAGTGGAGCAATATACCTCATAAGGATCGTTGCGCCGTGTGTTGAAGGAAGGGATAATTCCATCCTTTTGGGTCTCAGCCCAGTGGAATATCTTTTGATACTCCTCACGATCCAACAAGGAATCAGTAGAAGGCATGGTAGTAAAAATGGCTAGAAACCACAGAGTAAACAAACTAAAAACTGTAGGGGTTGTTTTATTCGTCTTCTCAAGCAACTCCGGGGGTGCAAGACAGACCCTTATATATGTAATTCAGCATAGGTGGTCAGGCCAGATACTTGCGGGACCAACGAGCCAATAAGGAAATAATACAATCCAAGATCCGGCATGGCCACGAAGCATCAGCTAGAGGCGCGATGTTGGTGCATTGGATACCTTAGCGGTGGACCTCTCCCCCACAAATCGGCAAGCCATACTAAATCGACTTGCCGGTCTCGTCGGGTAGACCAGCTTTGGGCGATAAATTGCGGAGAAATATCATTCTCATGCGAGCAGGCGACGCGTGGACGGATGACCCCACATGAGTAAGAGCTGAGTAACGGTGGAGGCTCCGCTGGTGGAGAGGAGTTCAGGGTTGACTTGTTGGAGGTTTTACGGATTAAGATGGTTGTCTAACTGCCGAGATGTTAAGAATCTGAAATGAGGTCTTAGGATCATTAATTGGGTGTTCAGTGTTGGTTAGCGGTCATGGTACTGAGGCAATTTGCTAGATATATATAATAGCGAAATTATGATTTTGCGATGGGAGTTGACTGGACTGAATCTATTTTCAGTCTGTTATTAGACTATGTAGTAACAGACTAATTCAACAGACTAATTCTCCCTGCAGTCAAAGCAAAGACAATAGGCATATACGCGCCATTTCCTGCTTCCTTAAGCGCATTACAATGCTCAATTCTCCGACGAGCAGCGAACTGCGACTCATCAATCTCCTTGCACTCCCCCAGAGGTCCAAAAGCAAATCTCAAATCCGCAGACCAAGGTCCACCACCATTGACAAACCGAATCCAACGCTGCCGCATCTCCTTCCCAACAGCGCTAGCCGCAGAATTGAACGGTAGGTCAACGCCGTCGAAGAGAAACAGCAGATCAACGGCATGGTGTGCACGGCTTGAAGGTTGCCAGGGATTAGTCTGGTCTATCACGTATCGGAAGACACGCTTGTTGGCTTCGCGTAACTTGTCCGCAACGACCTCAACGGGAAGAGTATACCGAACATCATTGACGAGATCTAGAGCACCGAGCTTCGCAGCAGTTGGGCGATCACCGACTATTTGGTACATCTTTCGAAGCTGGGTGCCCCATTGTTTATCGTTGTCGAATGCAGCTGCAATTGTCTCTCCATCGAGGAGCTCGACGCCGTTTCGCCAAATAATCGACTAAGGCACATATTAATGATGCCCTAAGGACTAGGCAAAGCTGAGGCTTTACTTACCTCGTACTCAACATCACCAATCATCACTTCCTCGACCTGCTCAGGTCTAGTTTCCCATCCTGTCAGTCCAGCCTCCTCTTGGATCCACATTGTATTCACATTGCACTCTCTCAGTGCTTGAACCAGTACTGTAACGGAGGACTCGCGTAGTGAGGTTTGACCAAGCTCTCGCACCTTTGCCTCTAATCCTTTAATAAGACCATCCCCCTTCTCGACTGGTAGCGGCGATGACAGAAAAAGAGTTCCAGATGCCATGACGGCCCTTTTCACAGGGGGGCCAGTGATGAGATGAGCATGGGTATAGATAGCACCAGCACTCTCGCCCGACAAGGTGATATTCTCCTACACATAATGAGCACAACCACATATTAGCAGGAAATGCTGAATATTTGACTTACAGGATCACCCCCGAAAGCAGCGATATTCTGTCGCACCCACTCAATACCCAAACGCTGATCTTTCAGAGCCAGATTCCTTTCTTTGCCATCTCCAAAACTGAAGATATTCAGGCGGTAATTGATGGATACAAAGATGAGAGGTTTCCCTGCCTTGATAGAGTCTGCGACGATCTTGGTCGGGTCACAAATCTTGGAGGCAGCAGAGCAGAATGTGACGATCTGAGAGCCGCCATGTATCCAGACGAGGACAGGTAGAGGGGCTGCTGTGTGAGACTTAGGAGGACATGTAATCTCTAGATTCAGGCATTCGAATTCGTTCTCTACTTCGGGGGCAATGGCAAAGTCCTCTGGAATACGGAGTAGATGGCGGACGTCTAAAACTGGCTGAGGACATACCGGACTTGTATCAAATATCAGTGTTGAGTTCAATTGTACCTCAGGCATGGTGCATCTTACCCATATTTCGAGGCATCAACAACAGCTCCATCGAAATTGCGCATAGGCTCGGCCTTCTCGAACCGCGCCGGGATACTACCATATTTTATACCCAGGAATTGATGGACGAGCACATTTTGATCGTCACGCTGGATGCCCTTGAATGTGGCATTCAGAACTAAATGTTGGATTTCCGGAGTTGCCATGATAAATGCTCAGAACGTTCAAACTGGATAGGTAACAAAAGCAGTTTGGAAAGCTCGGACTACTTCCAAGGTTAGCTGACATAGCTCCATAATCACGGCTGATGTCCTTTCGAACAAGTCCCGAGACTATATTAGAAAGTCCATAATCTTCGTGGGGCTGCGCGGGGACACCTGTGGGGGTGGGGGTCCTTTTCATGTAGGGGGAATTAATACAACTATTCGTCACAAAATTCGATTTTTGTTTTTTCATTTTTTTTCATTCAATTCTGTTACAATTAGGGAATATTGCTGAAACGATGCATAAAAGTGGAGAGAATGTAGAGAATGCCCGGGCATACGTCTGAGTTAGTAAACTTTGTCCAGGCTGTCATAATTGAGACACAAAAAGTATGAAATATATACACAAGGTAGGTTTCTTTGTTTGAGAATTAACTTACGGGCTAGGGTGCTGCCTGTAAACTGGACTTCATTCACTAACCCGACCGGCTTTCTTAAAATCTAGCCGCCTAAGAATAATAGGGTTAGGATAGATGTCGTGCCAGCTGTCAATTCTAATAAGAAACTACCCCACGCAAAGACAGAGTCAGTAAGAAAAGAAAGGTAACCAAAAAAAAGTAAATGGATTCTCACCTTCACTGGCTGGGTTGAGCCTTTTCCTCCTGTATCTCCCGTAGCACTTTCTCAGCAATGTGAAATCCCCCAGCCCAGCAGGTATACCAACATAAATAGCCACTTGGAGCAGTGCTTCCCGAACCTCAATCTCAGTCAATCCATTGTTGACTCCGCCACGTACATGGACTGCCAACTCAGCATCTCGGTTGAGTGCGCACAGCATCCCGATGTTCAGCAACGACCTCTGCTTGCGATCAAGGCCAGGTCGAGCCCGTACGGAGCCCCAGCATGCCTCGGTGACTAGCTCCTGCATGGGCTTGCTGAAGGGAGAAGCAGAAGATAAAGATCGGTCCACGTAGGGCTTGCCTGCGACCTCGTACCGGATCCTTAGGCCCTCGTCGAAAAGCCGTTTATGGGCGTCGTCGAGAGAAGGAGGGTGTAGGTCGGCCATTGCTTTGAGTTGCTCGGTAAATGGGGGTGGTAAAGATACGGTTTCCACCTACAAAGGGTGACTTGCACCTATTATATCTCGGTGCCATCGGATGGAAAGAATGCCACCACATCTGGCACGCCCATTCCCCCACATACAAATCCCCCACCTACTGGGTGCACCAGAGCTTTTATATGACGCCAATTCCTAAGGGCACACGATGTTAAGGTAATTCCGTGAATCCAAAAAGGACCATCAAAACAATGTCACCACCTGCACTTGGGTTCATTGGTCTGGGTGTCATGGGGTATCCCATGGCCCTGAACCTGCTGAATAAACTTGAAACGGGAACAAGACTGCATGTGTACGATGTGTCTAGCCAAATTCTGGACAAGTCCAAATCGGAAGCTCCCAACCTAGTCTCCATTTGCTTAAGTGCGCGTGACGTTGCAGAAAGATCGGTACAGCCTACCAATTCGATGGTGATCAATATGGGTGACTAACCATGATTATAGGATGTTCTTTTCACAATTGTCCCGGAAGGAAAACACGTACGGGCCGTTTACCTTGACGAAGACAACGGAGTGCTGTCTGGGGCAGTTGGCAAAAAGATATTAATTGACTGTTCCACAATTGACACGCAACTTTAACTGACGTCAAGGAGGCCGTTTGGAAGAAATCCACTATGGCATCCTTCTACGACGCTCCTGTCTCTGGAGGCTCTCTTGGGGCAGCCGCTGGGACCTTAACGTTTATGCTAGGTTGCAATGAAGACGATCCAAAGCTGCCACTGTTGAAAGAGCTGCTAGGCGCCATGGGGTCGTCTATCTTCCCCTGTGGCGGATTTTCCCTTGGTTTGACGGCAAAGCTCTGCAATAACTATTGTTCCGGCCTTATTGCCATTGCCACAGCTGAAGCATTGAATATCGGTATCAAGTCGGGAATGGACCCATCGCTGCTAGCTAGGATCTTCACGACAAGCACGGCACAGAGCACGATCAAGGACAAATGGAACCCTGTGCCAGGAGTTTGCCCAAACGCTCCGGCTAGCAGGGACTATCAGGGTGGGTTCAAAGTGCAGTTGATGAAAAGGATTTCAGCCTTGCTGTTGAGGCAGCCAAAAGGGTTGGTGCTCAGCTGCATCTTGGGGAGACTGGGCTGGCTGTGTATCACGAGGCGAGCGAGGATGTGACATGTCGAGATCGAGATTCACGAGTCGTATTTCGCTATATTGGGGGCGTCGAGAATTGGAAGGAGAAACTTGGATTATCAGAGTAGGCTAGCCTGATTATAAACTTGATAATCTTAACCATCCCCTCAATGGAAAATTCGGGGCCGTTTGTACGCTACGCCCGTCACCATGTTAGAATAATGTGAAATCAATGTTTCATTATATATATATATATTATTCTCTGATGTCGCCCTGGCGGACGTACAATTCGCCCAAATTAGCCTGCCTAACGACGCGACTGTTGATTTCTCTTCCACCACTGCACATCATGCGCCATGACAACCTCAACATCTACCTCCTCCATCTGTTGCAGCCTCCTAATCTTCGAAAAAGTCTCTTCTGCTCGCGCCTTGTCCACATGTATGCAGTTCGTGTTTCCATGCACACCCACCCACGTAGCAATCTCTCGCTCACCCCTAAGCAGTCGTAGATCATGACAACTATCCCCCCCTAGATAGATCCACTGCCGGTCTCCAAGACGACAGAGAAGGTTGATATGGCCAGGAAGATGGCCCGGTGCATCAACAACATAGATGGATCCATCATTCAACAAGTCAAGTGTCGCCTCGAACGGACCAAGCGGCTTCCATAGAGATGTGCTGGGGCTCGGGAGCTGGGTCCCGCGTGAGACGTCGCGGAATAGGTTTGCATCAAAGAACTGATGAGAGGCACTGGGCCCAAGTCCATTCTGAAAGAGGTCGAGGGAGCCCGATCCGAGGAAAAACTGTGCCATAGGGAAGTCTGCTGGGTCGCCGTGGTGGTCGTAGTGGAGGTGGCTGAGGATGACGGTGTCAATATCAGTCGGATCCAGACCACCCTTCCGCAGAGATTGACCAACTCCGGGGCCAAGTTGGTAAGGGACGCGCGATTCCAAATGGGATTTCTGCTCTTTCATGTAGTTGTCCAGCTGGGCACGGAGACCTAGGTCGAAGAGTAGGTACCTGGGTCTGCATTGACTTTCAACACCGGGGTGGGTAATCAGAAAGCTCAATGATGGAACAGTAATCACCGCCTCTGGATCACTTGGAGAAACAAATGATGGTTCAGGGAGTGTGATTTCGCCTCCGTGGATCGGGGTCACGGCGACGTAGTTCTGTCCGGCAGAAGGAGGCGGGAGTGTATGGGTCATTATCCCGAAAAACACTCTATGCGGAAGTTCTTTGATGAAAAACACAGATTGTATCTTATTTGCTCCCCAAGTTCGCGAACGATAGGTCTGTGTAGGTGGGGTTGGGCTATGTGGGGTGAATGAAGCCTTTTTATGAAAATTGAAAGTAAGGTGACCTCCTCCAATATACGCCTTTTAATCTTAAGGATAATGTGACGTCTAGTTCTGAAGGATAGCTTTGATTGTTGTTGGAATTCTGGTGGCATTCGTAGTGTATGCTCCTCTCAAGAGCGCGGATGGAATTATTCCACACAATGACCAGGCAGAACAAATAGTGTCAATATCCTCTCCGGATTAGCACAATTATCGGGGTTCTCAGGATGGTGCTCCTGTCTTCCCCCACCCCGCGCCATATATGGGGTGTGCGTGGAGGCTACTGTACTGCATGCTCTCCACATTCATAGCTGGTGCTAGCTACTCACTCAAAACACACCACCCCAACTTATCCTATTTCTCCTCTCTCTTTTCTATCTTCATAACGATCATTGGAAAGAATATGGAAACCTCCGCTAACTCCATCTCGCGTCTCCTGGATCACCCAAATGGGCAGATCACGCATATAATCGTCGATGACTACACTGACCCTTGGGTAGAGCCAGAGACAGTCCTCATCCAAGGTGGCTTTGCACGGCATTCCACCTTCTGGTACCATTGGATTCCGTCCCTCGCTCGCACATATCGAGTGATTCGACGAGACACTAGAGGCCATGGCAAATCATCCACTCCGAGGCCAAGCGACAATTATGCTTACACCCTTGATACAATCTTATCTGAAATCGCCGACACCCTTGATCAACTCGGTCTTCAGAAGGTCCATTTTATTGGAGAGAGCACCTCTGGCATGCTGGGGGAAGCATTCGCCGTAAAATTCCCAAATCGATTACACAGCCTAACCATCTGTTCGAGCCCAGCCTACCTGCCGCCTGCAGCTCTGGAACTCTTTTCCTTCGGTCACTCTAGTTGGCCGGAGGCATGTCGCAAACTCGGCTCCAGAGCGTGGGGAGAGCATCTTGCCCGTGCCCCAGGCACACTGTCATCGACAGATCGCAAGTACGAAGCGTGGTGGGTCTCGACGATCGCACGAAGTTCCAGCGAGGGCCTTGCAGGATACGCCGAGTTTCTTTCATCATTGGACACACGGCCTCTTCTGTCGCAGATTTCAGTGCCGACGTTAATCCTTGCACCGGCGAAGAGCGCGGCTACTGGTCTGGAGGAGCAGCTTGAGATTGCAAGACAGGTAAAAGGGGCCAAGCTAGTTATTATCCATGGGGCTGGGCATGAGATTTACGCGGATAAGGCTGAGGATTGTTTGACTGCTTTTGAGGAGTTTCTGTTTGATTTGGACTTCCGGGGCTCTACCGACATTGCCTAGGTTTGCTCAGTCATGGCTGATTATGGACTTGCATTGAAAGATTTAACAATATGAGTACTTTGTCCTATCCTTGATATCCATAGCCTTGGATATAGCACCGAGTTCGACAACCAACATTGAGTCCTTATAGCTAGGGCTTCAAAGGGCTGTTCACCCAACATGCTCACGTAACCACACGCCCTAGAAAGGGCTTGCTGCAAGAATTCCTCATCCAGCAAAGATAGAAAAGCATGGTTTAGGCTTTAGTCATGTCCTCAGGAGATCTAAACGAAATTTTATCTTCACAAAAAGGGTGATGTTCCTGGGCTTGAGTTATCCTAGCCTACTTGTAAATAGCAGTCGTGTGAATACTAGCTGTAGATGAATGCGTGTTGATAATGTTGGACATTAGTCTTTAAGTAGTCAAACGGAAAAAGCGAAGGTAACCCGAATTGAATACTCCCAACCTCAATTAACTCCTTATCACTTTCCGCCTACCAGGATCGCCACTTTATTTTGCCCATCAAACGCAGAGCGAGCCAGTCCGTCGTCAAAGAAGTCCATTATTGCGCAGGATTTCCCGATGCAAATCAATTGCATACGCAGTGATGGCGGCCTTTTTGGTCATAACCGGGCTCCACAGTGGATCAAACATCAGTCCCAGAGACAGAGGAAGGTCATCCTGGGCAGAAGAATTGCAGTGTCGAGTCTGTCCCACGGCGGGTGACTGGAAAGGGGGTCTATCAACTGCTTCGTCAAAGTCGCATCCAGTGGTGTTTGGTGCTTTTCCGTACGTGCAAAATGATGGCGAGTTCTCCCGCGTGTAGTTGTAGCGACTGCCAAATATCATTTCTCCCTGAGTCAACTCGGCTTCTGAAGGTAGTTTCGGGTGTTGTACTGTCATATGGTTGGCAGAAAGAGCCTCTGAATGGAGAGTAGTGAAATCCAGAGTTGCGAGAGCCTGGCGGATTCTCTCGTTCGGACTAGAAGGGCATGTAGGAAGCCTGCAGATTGGCACCGGTCGCTCGATCACCGAGGGTGCGGTTCTATCCTCTGATTGTACCTGGCTGGGTCCCCGTGAATCTGCGCAGGAACCATAGGGGTGTCGCGATGTGTCTTCTGGCATTTGCGATAAGATTGCAGCTTTATCAGATATAATTCTCGAAGAGTATTCTTTTTGATGAGCGGCTTTCTCGTGGCGGACGACTGTATCTCTATAAATGGGCTGTTAGATGTGGACGAGCTTCGGGGGGCTGACATGAGGCATCGATGACGATACGAATACACATACGATCTACGGTAGGCTTTGGGACAATACCGGCATGGGAAGGGGGTCTCTCGCGTATCTGGATTTTGGGGTCAGCTTCCTTCTTAATTGTGTCGACCGGAACGGGAGAGGCACTGACGACGACCGCGTTTATGGCGAGCATAATGGTCACTCCGTTTGAATACCTTGCTGCAAATGGTGCAAATGTGCTGTCGGCACATTTCTGGTTGTTCGCTCAACGAATTAGGAGGACTATCCATCGGCATGTATATATGAGAACCTCTTGGCAAAGGAACGAAAGGCATAACACCAAGGGGGAAGTATGCCTTGTGAGATACCAGTATCGCACAGTAGCTACCAGACCTAAATATAAATATGAATATGACAAAGAACATAGTCATAGTTACCTCTCCCGATATTAAGAAGACGAGGACGCTGCACTGCTCATGAGGCTGCCACCCCACACGACCATGTGGGGGCGTTTCGCAGCGGTCGAAACACACAGACAAAATATAGGTAGTTATTTATCTACATAGAGACTACAGCAGGTGTATCTAGCCGTAGATATTAACCCTAGGCGCTCAAGGAAGAGGACGGGGGCAATCAGGATGTACTGGTCTAAACCAAGACCACAAGTTAATCGTGAAGCGATGCTTGCAAAATAAATTGAATAGGATCATTATAGCCCGAGAACATTTCCAACCTTGTTTATCTATGTATGTATGAGTTTTCCTATCGCTATAAAAGTCTCTCAATGGCCGGCCATGAAAATTCCCCAAGCCCTCGATAAGTCATCCGCTGGGATACTGCGCGTTAGATTGAAAATTGTTCCACTGCGTTCAGTACTGGAATGGGGTATCAGAACGGTGGCAACTTTCCCTGAGGTGTCTGCGCCTTTCCCCCCATACAATCGAGCATGTAAGTCCTTCGTCTCCCACTTGAATTTGGGCCATGGTGCACATCCACTAGAGAACGCAATCAAGTCAAGCGCAAACTGAGATGCAACTGCACGCTGAGGCTCTGAAAGTGCCTCATTATAGTTCTGAAATAGATAGGAGACGTCCAGGATATGAGTTGCATAGCCCTTCCAGGGGCCATCCCAGGAGTTAGGCTCGTTGAAGTGGTATATAAAGGCTTTTCCAGACCAGCACTGCCCGTAATTGAGGACGGGTATGAAAAAGGAGATATCGTTTGCAAACCGGAGAATCGCTTCGAATGCGTCGTCGCCGGGTATGTCTTCGGTAATGGCGTATGCTGCGAGGACCTGTTTTGCTTTATCTGCCGAGCCCAATGATCGCGTTAAGGATTCGCGGAAGGCGGACGCGATCCCCTCTTTCTCTTGATTTAGCATCGTAGACAGAATGCTCGCCTTATTGCTGTTTAGTGCATCGTCGCCTTTAGGCAGATAGGGATCTCACATCCATCTGGCAGTCGCCAATCATGATTTCTTCACACCACTTGCGGCCTGGAATATTGAGCGAGCCAGAGGAGCCTTGATGAAATCCAGCATATGTATGCGGGTTGAGACCCAGCTTCCCTCCGACTGCTGGAAGTAGGGCGTCAGTTGGTGAACTGGCCTGAAGCAGCTTTTGAGTATCCATTTGCACCAGCGCGTTGACTCGCTCAGTAGCTGGCCATGAGGCTAGGCCTAGCCGAGCGACAATGGCTTTGTATGTACACTCGGTTACCTGCTCAGGAAGCGGTTTCAGGAGTAGGTTCGTGCCGCTCATACTGACCATCCGTTTGAACAAGGGCACTTCCGACTGAAGATGATGTGTTGCGGAAACTAAAACGACAGCACCAGTGTCAACCCACGGCTTGTACCGAAGTCGGGGATACAACAGACCTCCACCAGCACTCTGACCAACAATCGTCATATCATCAGGATTGCCTCCAAATCCGACAATATGCCTTTTTATCCATAGCAAGGCAGTGCGTTGGTCAAGGAGCCCATTGTTCTGTTTGTATCCGTGGGAAACCAACTCCTTGGAGGTCAAGAACCCGAGTGCCCCGAGACGATAGCTGCAAACACCCGTCAGTGAGAATTACCATAACGAAGACTAACCATACTTGATGTTCACCCCAATTACAGGCTGTTGTTCCCTTACCGAGAGTTCAATGAGACGACGAAAATCATACTGAGGCCAGGAATTGGCGCCAATCGCAAATCCTCCTCCGTGAATAAAGACAATCACCGGCAGGTTGACTCCGGCTGAGACAGCCTTGGGCGTCGTAATGTTCAAATTGAGGCATTCGACGTCGGACTGCTGGAGCTCGGGATGTGGGAGTGGTCTTTGAATGCGACTGAACTCAATGTCAATACCGTTTGGTGGCGACGGGACAGAGGGGCTGCGATTATCAGAATTTGTTCAATATCACAAATGCAGACGTGACATTACCCCAGGGTTGTGGCATCCACGATCCCTTTCGGATCGCCTTCTGAAATCACAGGGGGCGCCCATTTCCCAGTCAGGGTAGCATAACGAAGCCCTAGAAATTGGCGGGTGGAAGGCGAAGTCCAACCTCTCACGATACCCAAGGTCGGGTGGGGGAAGTCAGTAATGGTATCCATATTAACGAATATACTCGCAAAGTCATGTGGATGTAACGCTCTGTGCCGCTGAGAGTTGCAGCTGCTTTTATGGACCCCTTCTCCTGCCCGGGTGGGGTGTGGGGGAACATATGGGGGGCATATCCTACACAGTACGGAGTAAGATATCAACAGCTCGACAGCTGTTTTCATCTTCCCTGCCAACAAAATGGCTGCCCACAAACTCCTCTCCATGCTGCCTGCCGACGGCGGTAATCTGAAGCTCGGACCCATGATTGGCCTTATCTCTGTTGTTGGCTTGTTCTCATTCTACCTTTACATTGTGCCGAATAGGTTCACCGACACACGCCGAAAGGCCCTGCCACCCGGCCCTCGGGGACTGCCCTTCATCGGCAATATGTTGGATCTGGCCGACTCCGAGCTGGTCCCGGACAAAGCCCAAGAGTGGTTCAAGAAGTACGGAGATGTCTTCTATACAAAAATTGGCGGAAGTGACTACGTATGGCTGTCGTCTCCGAAAGCAGTCAAAGATTTGATGGACAAGAAGTCCAGTGTTTATTCCTCTCGTCCGCCACTTCCGCTGGCCCAAGACATAGCAAGCGCAGGTCGACGGCAGCTCTTCATGGAATACGGACCACAATGGCGAGGCATTCGCAAATACAGCCACAACCTCCTGAATTCGCAAGCGGCCGTCGCCTACCAGCCAGTGCAGGACTTTGAATCGCTACAGATGATGTTCGATCTGCTTCAGACTCCGGATGATTTCTACCAGCATAATCGCCGATATTCCTCCAGTGTCATCATGTACGTCACCTACGGATACCGACTGCCTTCATGGCGCCACGCACTCGTCAGCAAGATCTACAGCGTCCTTGATAATCTGACGGAAATGACTGCTCCGGGTGCGCATGCTGTCGACAGCTTTCCAACCCTGAAGCACATTCCCCAATGGCTACTCGGGAACTGGAAAAACTTTGCGCAGCGGGTATTTGAACATGACTCACGGGTGTACCTCGAGCTGTGGGAGGATCTTAAAACACGCGTTGACCAAGGCACGGCCCCGGACTGCTTCTGTAAGTCATTCTATCTTAACAATCCCAAGAACGCAGGCATCGACAATCTAGCAGCTGCATATACATGCGGGGGTTTAGTGGAAGCTGGAAGCGAAACTACGGCAACAACACTGAATAACTGGCTGCTTGCTATGACCCTCAATCCGGAGGTAGTGAAAAAGGCCCAGGAAGAGCTGGACCGAGTGGTAGGATCCGATCGCCTGCCAACGTGGGAGGACGAGCAGAATCTACCCTACACTCGGGCGATGATCAAAGAAACCCTCCGCTGGCGCCCCGTGAATAAGTTTGGTATGATGCATGCTACAAACGACGACGACTGGTACGATGGCTATTTTATCCCAAAGGGATCTGTCGTTATCTTGAACTGGTGGTAAGTCGATCGTTATTACTCTCTGACCTTGACAGCGGTAGCGGTCCCCTAACACCATCCTTCAGGGCAATCCACAGAAACCCAGACCTTTATCCGGACCCCGAAAAGTTCCAGCCTGAGCGATACCTGAACCATAGCCTGTCGGCCGCAGAGTACATCAACATTGCGGATCCATATGCCCGCGATCACTTCACCTACGGAGCCGGCCGGCGCGTCTGCCCTGGAGTGCATGTTGCAGAGCGATCCCTGTTCATCAATATTGCGCGGATACTCTGGGGTTTCGATATTCAGAAGAAGAAAGGATCGAATGGCCGGTTGCTGGAGCCTACGACTTCCATGATGCGCGGATTTCTCAGCATCCCAAATCCCTTTCCCTGTGAGATTACCCCACGGTCGGCACACCATGCTCAATTGATCCAGGAGGCTTGGAAGGAGGCTGAGAGTAGAGGCATTGCGGGTGTTTAAATCTCTCATAGGTCACATGATCTAATCTCCCATGTACATAGTGTTCTACCCTTTCTTCCCTCCATTGATCTTACATCCATTTTCATACAGTAAATGTCATATTGTACCTCTTTCCTGATCTCATCCACTACGTGGATCCTAACAGGCTATGAGCCCGGGGAGCTCGCTATTGATCTGATCTCACAATCGGTCAATATGCTCGGTTCGGTGCACTGCACAGGGGCTGTGCGAAGACCTGCACGACCCAGCAAAATACTCGGGAGTCAGGGTCTAACGAAGCGCCAATTTATACCTCCGCCAAGCTCGGAAATTACCTATTTAGGTAGTGTAAATAGCTCCAAGGTCTGCTGCCTTGTTGCTTCGGTCTGCGATATCAGGAATCCAGACGTACTACCCCAATCCCCATCATCTAGTGTGACTCCCCAACTCCACAATCGAGCAGAGACGAATCCAAGACTGTTACATACTCTCCCACCTTGAAAGTTAGCTGTGGGGTAGAATGTGGGGTTAGTGAGGTCTATGTGACTCTCATACCCAACAAAAGTATATAAACAGCTAGAGAACATTGGTAGACGCAGAACATCTAAATCAACCAACAAGCCATGTCTGTCTATCCATTCGACAAAGAGCAACTCCGGAAACTGCGTGGTCGGACTATCCTGATCACCGGCGCAGCCAGCGGAATTGGACGAGCTGCTGCTCAGATTGCACATGGTAGACAAATCCAAAAGTCCAATTGATATTGCTGCTAACGCAAACACATAGATCATGGCGCAAACCTTGTATTGGGGGACTTAGACATAGAGGAGGGGAACAAGCTTGTGAACGAAATCCAAGGGTACGACCGCCGGTCCTCCATGCTGCGCACTAGAAGCTCACCCCACTTAACACCCTAACAGACGTGTTTTATTTCGTAAAACCGATATATCCAAGTGGGATGATGTTCTATCACTTTTCGAAGCGGGGGTTATGGAGTTCGGTATCATCGACGCTGTTCTCGCTAACGCGGGAATGAATAAAGAAGACCTACTTGCAGAAGATCTTGACGCAAATGGCAGGCTCCTCCCACCCAATCTAGGGAGTATCGATGTGAATCTAGTTGGCACAGCCTACACAGTCAAGACTGCTGTGCACTTCTTCCGCAAGTGGCCGGAGACAAAATGCCAGATTGTCTTGACAGCAAGCGCAGCCAGCTACCTCGACACCCCTCCCCTGTACCTATATTGTGCGGCGAAGACGGGGACTCTGGGACTTATGCGTGGATTGAGGTCACAACTTGTCAGACAGAACATCACCATAAATGTCGTGGCACCATGGATGACTAGTAAGGATTCTCCAATCTCGGATCGTGATAGAGACACTGGTGAAGTGCAGCTCTAATTTCACCCCACTCTAGTTACGAATATGGTCTCTCCCTCGCTGGTTACGTTGTGGGGTAACCTCCCCGCCAACCAGCCCTGGGGAGTTGCTCATGCACTTCTCCTACCACTGCTGCACCCGGAGGTCAACGGCAAGGCCTTTTTTGTGGCAGGTCATAGGATTATAGAGCTGGAGGACAAGCTGATTGAAACGCAGCCATTGTGGATGGGGGAGCAATTGAGCAGTGATATTGCAGAGGGACAGCGAAGGTTGACAACTTGACTCATTATGTGAAAGATAGTCGCACCTAAGCTAGCCCTAGAGGCACATATCTTCCATTTACTGTGCTTTATTTGATGCGAGTTCCATGTATGTTCGAATCTACTGGAGAGGTGAGATTATGAGGACGTAACAAATAAGCGCTCAGCCTGCCACCAAAACCAGACATCTATAGAAGATGGGATCATCAACAGTTTATAGCTGCTGTAAGCACCGTCGTCAAGACCCAACCACCAAACTGACAGGGGCCCCTGCTCATGCCACTACTGATGTATGTTGGTCCGGAAATTTGACCCTCCACCACTCATTAACAACAAAGCTTTCCCGGTGCAATGCACGAGCAGGGATCCCCTGCTAGTGTGAGGCTCTAGCTGTACCAAGGTACATATAGAACAGGGATATCAACAGGGATTAAGGCCAATATTTACTGGAATACTGGAAATTACCACGCCTCTATCGCGACTTCGAGTTTATTTTGTAGTTCTATTGATCATCTTCCAGAATATCGGTTCTACTAGTATTCCATTTGGCTGCGACACAGCGTTTCCAATTTCACCAGCTAATTTAGTTAGGCTATCTGAGCAGAGATGTCTTGCTCATCGACACCTATCCTTAATGCCAGGTGAGGCAAATCACCGTTTGTGCCACCAACCCCTGAGCCTCTTGCCAAAAACATAAAGGACGGCAGTAGTCAGACACAAGCCAAGTTGGATTCCCGCGACACAATAAAACATACGAGGTGCTCCCCACTGTGCAACCCAATCGTTTAAAAAGTCTATACGAATGCATTGTTAGCTGCGAAGAACATTTCCTTGGCCCAGGACATAGATCTCACAAGAGAATCCATAGAATAGGAAATTCTTAATCACCATTGTAGCAATGAAGATCTCCATGCTGATTTTTCGATAGGCATCGACGCAGTAGGTGCCGACGGCCATCGTGATGAATTGCAGCGCGGCTGTAGCGGTTCCCCAGAGCGCGGCCATTGCAATGGGGGTCTGCCTGTGCTCAATAAGTGCCCCAAAAAGGAAGTAACTAATTGCGGACAGCACCATTGCTGGGATCATGAGTACCAAGCGATATTCCGGCTCATAAATGCCCTTGTTCCTGCGTGCCATGAACTTTATGAGAGGATCTGATATGATGGCCGCGGCGATGGAGCCCACGAAGCCTCCCAAGGCTGGCCCAGAAGACATGTAGCCCAGCTCCGCCGTGGTGAGGAGGAAGGGCGGTGATGCAAAGATCTCTGCGATGAGCAGATTGATTGCGACAACCCAAAGGGTCGGAAAGGCCAGCAAAAGGGCAGCCCAGATCACGGCTGGGTTTTGAAGGATGACTATGGGTTTAATGGCAAGCTTGCCCAGCGACTCCTCCGAATAACATGTGGAATATAGACGAAGACGAGCAGCAAAAGTCTGCCGAGGGATGGAATTGCTAACCGTCGTAGTTTCAGTTACCGAGGGTGACGTGGCGCTGCTTCTTTCAATATGAGCGGCGCAAACATCGCGCTTTCCGTCAACATAATCCAGGTTCTAACAAGAAATGTTAAAGGAGGCTCGTGGTATTGAGGAGTTTGATATGACCCACGTGTGAGGAAGTTAAGTCGGTGTTGTATGCCGCTTGGCGCTTGTAGGCTGTCTCTCGTCCAAACAGAATGGAGAGAACGAGGCCTACACCAATGAAAATAGCTAATATCCAGAAGACCCATCTCCATCCAAGGTCTGTGGCTATCTTCCCCGCAAGAACGGTCGGCAAGTTCGATAAACCGGCAACACATGTCGTCACGACAGCGATTCGAATACCCCGTTCGTGGACGAAATAGAGATCTCCTACTATCGCGAAGAAAACAGATTCGAACATGGAAACAGATAATCCTTGAATGATACGGGCGCCTAGTAGCGAGTCGTAAGATTGAGCAAAGCCACCCCATATGGTGCCAACAAAAGCGCAAAGCATGGAAAAGATAAGTGGCATCCGCTTCCCATACTTATGAGTGACCATCGAAATGAAGATTCCAGAGGCTGCAGTTGCGCAGAGGCTATACCCAGTAAGCAGGGAGACGTCTGTATAAGAAACATCGAATAGGGCCATAATATCAAGGGCCAGGGAAGATAAGATCGGCCCGATCCTAATAAGACGAATTAATCAACACAACAACTGAATACAATAACAAAAGAATAACTTACCCTCCGACACAGAGAAGGCAGCAGTAAGATAAGAGCAAAAAGAGCAGATCTCTTGTCCACAGTGACCAATTTAAAGGGTCATTTGGATCATCCGAGGGCTGAGGAACCAGAATAATGGTCTCGTCCCCATGAACTTGCTTTTTGAGATGTTCCAGGGAAGCAGCCTCCTCGCCTGGTGGTTGCTCTAGGAGTACAGTCCCAGGAACATGACCGAAGTCGGTTGTAACTTCCAGAACACCCCAAGGCATAATGATGATAGGGAATGTCGATCAAGGATTTGGTAACAGTGTTGGGCTATATCAAAGCAGAAACCAGAAGCTAAGAATGCGTTTGGATATAGCTCCTCGTCAGGTTGGCGAAGACCGTAATATAGGAAGGAAATACTAGTTAATCCTCGGTAAAGTGTCCATATAAATTTGGGGAAAGGGAGCATTTCGACGGGTCTAAGGCTCTCGGATCGCCTTTTCATCTGCATGTTAGTACGATCAATAGTAAAAACAGCTGTTATGTGGGGTGCGTTAGGACGCCATTAAGGTTCGTCATTTTATGCGGGGTCGGGAGCGCATCCGGCCCCTCGGGCGGGGAGGTATGCGGTTCATGGTAAATAAGGGCCCAAGCATACAAAATGGGGAACCAGCGGGTCTGAAAGTGGTGCATGTTCGTTCACCAGCATGTGGGGTGAATCGGAGTAACCACAGTGGGCGGAGGGACCGAAGTCCCAAGTTGCTGTGCACTTCTGATGGTCATAAAGTGCAGCCTTCCCATCCTCGTCCTCGTATTAGCGAAACGTAACGTCCCCGTACGTTCTGACACTGTTACTCTAATCTGCCACAAAATGCCATACCCATCGTTGACGCACTGACACGATGAGGTTTCGCGTGTAGTAACTCCGATAGTTTTCCCAGGGTTGCTAGAAAAATGAGTTGATCGGCCGAAAGGCTCAATCACGGGCGCGGCTCACGCTTTATTTTTTCCTGCAGGACATATATGAAAAGTCCCTCTTTGAGAGGTAACATTGATGGTCAACTATTTACCTTCGAATATACTCCGGTCCCCATGGCCTCTGCACGGGAAATTACACACAGAAGTGGACTAATTTCCAACACTAATCATCATTCATCTAGCCATCGGAACTGAACACTGATCCATCGCGTATTGCATCACATAAAAGATCTTCGTCTCATCACATGTTTCCCACAATGACTTTCTGTTTCGTGTAGTGTTGAGTGAAGTCATACTTCAAAGCGTTAATACCCAGCGCCATCTCTTTAGCAAAATCAACATCATTCTCAGCCTTCTTGCACAGTGTCATAAGCTCATCCTGGCCTGGGTCGAGAATTGTATCAGGGTTACTCTCAAACATACGTCGCAGATTTCCACTGGACATAGGGTCGATCATCTCGCTGTACTTCTGCCTTCTCACTTGATCGTAGATGTCCAAAATATCGGGTTTTGCCTGCTCGTTCCAGATACCAAACAAGCAATCACTCAATCCGCCAACATCAACAATTCCACCAGTCAGTCCAAGTCCTCCGCTGTCAGATAATTAGTCTATGTGTGCTTGAGCAACAGAAAGCTAGGTTTTAAAGTAGGGGATAGCCTTACAAAGGGTTGCATAAATGGGCAGCATCTGCGGCCAGAAGAAACCTCCCCTCTCTCATTCTCTTGGCTAGCCGCTGATGCACACGGTAGGGGCTGAAGTTTGCGAGCACGTATTCCTCTATGGATGGATTCCCGGGGAACATCTCTCGGAACTTCATAGGCTGGCGAGCGGCAAGCTCGTCATGCGTGAGGCCACTCTTCTCTCCGTATGAGACACGCCACATGCCGTCCTTGCTGATACGAGAAGCCATATGCCAATGTTCCGGATGAATTATGAAATTAGCATCCTCGTACCCATACTTGTCAAAGTTATAGTAGACGTTGGTTGCGACAATCTGCTCGTCCCATGTAGTTCCAGGGAATGCCCAGTCACCATGCAAAGATCGCCGAATTTGCGAGTTAGCTCCATCACATCCAACAATGTAATCAGCCTCCATCGTGATTTCATCGTTGGGGGTAGCAACTTTGACCCAGGCCTTGTTATCATCCTGTCCTATGTCCGTGACTCGGTGGTTCCATTTGACTTCGGCACTCTCTTTCCGCTCTAGGTGTCGCAATAAGATCTTTCCAAGCCGGTCCAGTGGCAGACAGGCCACTCGATCCGGATGGTCACCGAGGACTGCATTGTCAATTCCAGCCAAGTAGGTTCCATCGAGCTTGCGCCAGCATATCTTTTCGGGAAGGAAGCCCTCAGCTAGAACATCATCGATGACTCCTGCACGACGCAGCTCATAGATGGCAGGGGGGCCGTAGTGAGTCGCCCGCGGTCGATTGTCCAGTCCTTTAGCTGAATCAAGAATAGTGACAGAGATGCCATGTTGAGCCAACAACAGTGAAAGTAGTAGTCCGGCGGGACCCGCACCGACGACGATGATCTAGTCAAAGAGACAGTTAGATCACGAAACATAGTCAAGGTGGATGAACTTCAACTCTGCTCCAAGTACCTTGAAAGGCGAATGTGTCATGATGAAATAGACATATAGGTATGGCAGTATTTGAGCTCCTGTTTGGTAGAATATAAACTTTGTTGGGGTGTTGGATCGTATATTAGTATATGTAGCAATAGTACGCGACTGTCTAAACCGATCATCGGATAGGGAGGAAATTGTGGGGGAACACTCAGCAGTGCCAAAAGACACGCACGCTCACCAAATCATCTGCTTCGAGGAAAATGGAAGCTCTGATCTTGCAAATGGTAATATGCGTCACTTGTCGCTACATACGCCCACCTAACTCCCCCACATTGTGCAAATCTTTACCCCACCGCACAATCCTAGACGAGTTCATATAAGATATTGGTGCGCAAGAGCGATGAAAAAATAACTTTTTTGTCATTTCAATTGGTCCAATCAAATGGGTATCCAAGTAGCTGGAGGCGAGTGGCTGGTTGTTACCACTGGCGTAGTCGGTGTTATTGCCCTACTCCTCGTCCAGTATGCCTACACGACCTTCCGTTGGCATAGAGAGTACAAATTGCCACCGCAGGTACCGGGAGTCCCAATCTTTGGAAATACCTTTCAAATTCCAGCCATACAACAAGGACCATGGGCCAAAAAGCTAGCAGAGAAATACGGAGAGATGTATGACCATAATTCCGCGCATCGAGTTTACCGTACTAACGAACTGGACCTGAAAGGTTTACTTGCAAATTTGGAGGCAGCACCTGGGTTTTTCTCAACTCATCCCGCGTGGTCACCGATCTCATGGAGCGTCGCGCGGCGATCTACAGCTCCAGGCCCCCTTTTCCTATGACACAGGAAATCATGTCAGGGGACTCTCGAATCGTCCTCATGCCTTACAACGCTCGATGGCGGCTTCTACGAAAGATCATGCACCAAATTCTGAGCGGCAAAAACCAGGACATTTTCCGACCTTTCCAAGATCTCGAATCGAAGCAACTTTGCTGGGACTACCTTCATGCTCCGGAAAGATGGTGGTCTGCGAACGGCCGGTACGCTAACTCGGTTATCATGAGTCTGGTCTTTGGGCGCCGGTCACTTCATGATGACCCAGAAGTTGTCGAGCTATTCGAAACACTTGAGCTCTTCCTAGAGAACCAACAACCCGGCGTCAACATCGTCGATGCGTTCCCAGGACTTGCCAAACTACCAAAATTACTCCAATGGTGGAGGCCAAGGGGAGAAGCAATTTTCGAAAAAACCAAAACGTAAAAAGAGTTTCATTCTGAGTTTTCTCAGGTTCCAGACCACTATCTTGATTAAGTAACTGACCTCGGAGCGCTCCATAGGGTTTACAAGCGAGAGCTCGACCGGCTCGAACAGGGGATCAAGGACGGTACTCAACGAAGATGCTTCGGAGTAGACTTTCTCCAAAGCAAAGAAATAGAACAGATAGACGAAATCCAGAAGCTCTTTGTGTTTGGATCGCTGATGGAAGCGGGAAGCGATACTTCGCGTGTCACTATTGGTCAAATCATTGCCGGGGCTATCTGTTACCCTGACTGGGTGGCAAAAGCGCGGAGTCAACTCGATTCCGTATGTGGTGCGAATGCTGAGCGACTGCCGCAGTGGGAAGACCGATCTCTACTTCCATACATTACGGCAGTCGTGAAGGAAGGATTCCGCTGGAGACCCAACATCGCTGAGATCGGTGCTCCGACTGCACTAACCAGAGATGACGAGTATGAGGGGTATCGTTTCCCTAAGGGGACAGTCTTTACCTGGAACGCATGGGCAATCGCCTTGAACCCAGATGAATATGAAGAGCCGGAACGATTCTGGCCCGATCGGTTCCTGAATGATGATCTGGACAATCCTCTGAAAGGTCATTGGGCTTTTGGACCCGGTATGTTCTACTAGTGTCGCTTTGAAGATATGCTAACTGGCTCGCAGGTCGACGAGTGTGTGTTGGCTGGAAGGTCGGGGAGATGAATGTGTGGATTGCCATTGCTCGCCTTCTCTACTGTTTTGACTTCCATGAGGTACCCGGGGAGCCAATTGATACGATGCGCATTCCTCAACTAACCAAGAACTCGCCACCATTCTCGGCTAAAGTGACCGTTAGAAGCGTAGCACACGCTGCCTTGATCCGAAACGATTGTGAGGCGGCTGTGAACGCGGTATACTAGCCTTGTCATAAGTAGACACGCTCACTATACCATTTTCTTTTCAATTATAACTCACTTCAAAATATGAATATGCAAGTATCAAATATAGAATCAGAAAAAGAAAACTGTATAAATTCCACTTGGACTCGGTCCTAATTATTCGTCAGCCCAATCGGGTTTACTTCCCCGCAATTTTACCCGAGACCCGTGCCAACTTTATTCCCCCACACGTTTTCTCTTTGAAAGTTCAATATTCAATTCAATTGCAGTACTTGAGATGTTCACCTGTTGGAAGCTGTAGATTAGGAACTGCCATACCCCTGGGAACCGGGGTAATCCGGAACCACTAGCACGAAGAGAGAGCAATCGTTGGCTCACTTACTATGGCACACACTAAGCAACCCAGGGTCAGCGATAATGACAAGGACCCTAGAAGATTCAAATGCACGAGCTGCAACAAGTCCTTCAAACGCAGCGAGCACTGTGCGCGTCACGAGTTGATGCACACTCAGGAGCGGCCTTTCCCTTGTCGGAAGTGTGGGAAGCGGTATGGCCGGAAGTATGAAATCCTCCTTCAATTTCATGTTGCTGGCTTGCTTCATATTCTACGGGTTGATTCTCATCAAGTTCCAGGGACCTGCTCCGTCGCCACGAGCGTACGATTCATGCAGAACAGTATGTCAACGATGATGGCCATGACATGCCGGAGAATTCTCCTTCTTCAAATGCTTCTGAGAATTCCGACCCCTGCGACCCTACCAATATGCAAGATTCTCGTCGCGAAGCTCCCGCACTTCATAATATACCGTCGAGCCTACCTCAGCCTCTGGGAAAAGATGCGCGGTCACAAGACACTCAGGACAGCAATGCCCCCTCTCTGCCGGGCGAGGTGGGATCAACCCTCCAGGCTGCTCCATTAATGTATCATGTGAATGGGCTGTCACCCCCCTTGGGCTCTTCCCTTCGCCAAGACGGGCTTCAGTTTCCATCCTTATCCACCTTCGGTGACCATGGTACTCCGATGGGATCTGACCCTTTATTTATGCATTTATTACTTGGAGGCACTCCAGATTCGACTCGATATACTGGAATAGATGGCATGAACAGAACTGTTCTAACGACAAATGGAGAGCGCGAGATACCACCCACCTCGGCTTCACCACAAGATGTTAATCTGACAATCGCAGGCGCTAATCCATCATCAGTACATCCAATGGCGGCATGGGGTACGAATCCAGGAGCTGGCTTTCTGGAAGGCCTAGGGCCTATGGATTTTCAACTGGACCTAGGGACATCACCTTCAGATACATGGTCTGGGGATCCTAGTAACCTGACACGAAGTCTTCCCACCATTCGACGGGAGAAGTTTGTTCAGTCTCCTCAATATTTAATCAACGAAACAGACTTTGAAAGGATCCACAAGGATGCCTCCGTGCAACTCGGGAATTCTGGTCCCGATTGTAACTTTCTCAAGCTCAATGAACTGCAGCAGTTCATCAAGAGTTATGTCGAATGTTTTCACAAACACCTGCCTTTCATTCATTTACCATCCTTCTCCCCTCTGAATACGCCATCTCCCTTAATATTTGCGATGGCAAGCATTGGAGCACTGTACCGTCTGAAGCGGCGCCGTGCGTATGACTTCTTCAGGTTGTCAGAGACAATAGTAAGCCTTGGGATTGGGCATCGGTTTGGCTCTTGGATAAATTGACTGACTCTCTTGTATATTTCATCTGCACCCACCTCGAAACCCAATAGCACGTCTCGGTCTCAGTTGTGGGTCTTGCAAACTAAGATCCTCCTAACTATGTTTGCCATATTCAGCAATCGGCGGAGTCTTGCTTCCGAGATGTTCAACAAGATGGGTTTCATGATGCTGGTCCGTTCATTCCCGTTTCCACCCTTCGCCTCTATATACATGTTGGTGAGAGACTTACCCCTCAACAGGAATATCAATGGAGGAGGATTGACTTGCAAAACATTGCTACCAATCGCGAAACAATGACCTGGTCAGATTGGATCAACTTTGAAGAAACAAAAAGGGCGCTCTGTGCCATGTTCATCCTAAGTGATTCGATTATGATCACGTTCAATATCACGCCCGGCTTCGTAATTGACCGAGATCTCATGATCGAAGCCCCCGACGATGACGAGTTATGGGCTGCTAAAACAGCAGAAGAATGGGAAGAACTGCAGCGATCCCACCCCAACAACCCACAACATACCATTCAGAGTATTCTAGAGTGCATGATTCGGGCCCCGCCAACTACTCCAAACAATAAGCCCTGCCGTATATGCGGCTTCACAGCCCTAGTCGTCATGCACGCCATTAACATCTACCTTTGGCATCTGAACCAGCTTGCGCAAAGCGTTAGCAGTTTCTCTCTGGGAATTTGGCCACATGAAAACCTCCGAACCACCTTGCTCCGAGCAGCAATGTCAACACTAGAACGGACTGAAGCTGCCCTACAAGCGGGTCGGTCAGATGACTACAAGTTAGCTTGGGATGACCTGGAGCATGTCCTTGTGTTCAACTGCAGTGCAGTACTTCGCGCTGGTTATTCGCGGCTTTTACCGCCATCACATTCATTCAATCGATTAGTGCTACTCGTGGATGATCACGATGCGCTATCACGGGCAGCAAAGACATATGTGAATGCACCGCTGGAAAGGAATGAATTTGTGACCGAGGCTGCCAGGAAGGCTTACGAAGGGTTTAAGGCCCCAGTTACCATAGGTGCTACCCTCGTTAGCAAAACTGCTGCTTTCTCCTGGAGTCTTGAGCAAGCCGTGGCCGGTTGGGATAGTGGTGAGTCTTTTCGTCTCTCCTTGGGCACTGTTTCGTTCGAAGCCCTACTGGGTCAACTGGCTAATTGATCTCTCTCTTCAGCCCTTCTACTGACCAAGTGGATCTATAGCATGGAGGTAGATGCAGCCGGGCAACAGCCATCAACTGAAGAATTGCAACTTGTTGATGACCTGAGATCTCTACTCGCTGAGATGCAATACGAGCACGAATTAGATAACGAAGTATATCCATTGGCTGCGCTTCTGGCCCGCGCGTGGGCGACCCTGCTTGGCGACGTATGTTGATACTTCCCACCTGATGCTTACACTATCTAAAAATTGTACTTTAGGTTTGGGTTTGGGGAATTACTCCCAGGATGGCGGAAATATTGAACCTTCTGGCAGTGGAATACCAGAGGCAAGCCGATTCTGACCAGGGGAATACTGCACAATGATTACATGTATGAGTATTTTGCTGCTGTTGAAATATACAAGGTTCCCCCACTTAGATTGGCATCTGCAAATTCTTTTCGAAATATTACGGGGCAAGTTACCCAAGGTCTGTTGTAAGAGGGTAAGAGTCTAGACAGATCTTCATCACTATATACAATATGAGATGTCGAACTATCGGTGAGGGGTGACTTTCATGGGACAAGGAAAGCGAGTGCTTGGCAGACAAGTTTGTGACAAATTTTGAGGCCCTTGTTTTAATGTGCCTTGTGCATAGCGAGCTCAGCTGCATGGAGTGGTGCATTGTCATATACGATTGTGATAAGATATTCAAAGACAACAGAACTGGATCTAATGCGAAAGTAATACGGAGTTGGCTATTCAAGTTTGAAAAAAAGGATGCTCCGTTTGCATAGCGACCTGGTTTGGTACTCGAAAATGCAGTGGTAAGCATCGGGTCGAATCCTACAGGGAATACTGCGACACTTCCAAGCTACCCCGTACTACCCCGCAAAGCCACTCCTCTACTCCATCCCGGGGATGGTTTGCCCCACATAAAATCACCCCACATGGAATTCCTTCGACCTGGGGAACCCTAAGATCCGCCCTGCCAAGCGATTGTCTGCGCGGTGAAATGAAACTATATCATGAGGCCATTCCATGCACGTAGTAGTCGATGAAAAGTCCGCTTTATCATCTGTCATCTCACCAAAATGGCGATAGCCCTACTCATTTGTGCTTCCTGTGTGCCGCTATATTTTGTGGCCCAAGCCCTACTGTCCCCTCTTCGCGGTATTCCAGGTCCATTCTGGGCTAGGTTTACCAGATTATGGAAACTCCTTGAAATATATCGAGGCCGTTTTGAGAAGACAAGCATCGCCTTGCACAAGAAATATGGTAAGAGAATGTCAGCATGTTCTCATAAACAAAGCGCTGAAACCACTATATCAGGTCCGATTGTCCGGATTGCACCCAACGAATACAGTATCGATGACCCTGGTGCAGTAAAAGAGATTTATGGTCTGGGCAGCCAGTTTATTAAGGTTATAACTCAGGTACATGATATGAAGCCCTGTAGCTAATTTATTGACAGAGCCCATGGTACACTGCGAGTAGCAGCCCAGACCCGAACGCCGTGAAGGACCTCTTCTCTGACCGGGATGTCAGGACGCACGCATCCAATAGGAGAAAGGTGGCTTCACTCTATTCCATGTCAAATTTGGTGCAAATGGAGCCGTTTGTAAACGACTGTACAAAGTTGCTGGAAGCTAAATTCACCAAATTTGCGGAGCAGGGCAGGCCCGTAGACATGGGTCATTGGTTGCAATGTTACGCATTTGATGTTATTGGGCATATTACCGTATGTCCTTCTCTCCTATCGCAGGGACGGCCTGAATATCTGATGCCTCTACAGTTGGGAGAGCGATTCGGCTTCTTGGACAACGGCGAAGACATAGGGAGCATCATTGCTGCCGTCAATGATTACGTATCATACGCAGCCCATGTCGGTGTTTACTCGGAACTTCACGGGAAAATAAACGAGTTACAGTCCAGGTTTCGCCAGAAAGGGAGTGGGATGGCGAATATGGTGGCTTTTACGCGAAAGCAATTGCAACAGCGCATTTCGGATTCCATTGAAAAGTCTCTGGACCGGGGGGACTTTATAAGCAAACTGCTAAGCTTGCATAAGGAAGACCCAAAAGGAATCTCTGAGGGAGATATTTTCACTACATGCATGACAAACATCGGCGCCGGATCAGATACTACATCCATAAGCCTTGGATCCATCGTTTATTACCTCTGCCGACATCAAAATGCCATGCACGCTTTGCGAGAGGAGATCGCTACTATGGAAGCTAAAGGTGAGATCTCCAATCCGGTTACATTCGCCGAGTCGCAGAGAATGCCTTATCTCCAGGCCGTCATCAAAGAAGCCCTGAGAATGCACCCAGCGACTGGGCTACCACTTGGCCGGGTTGTGCCACCAGGAGGGAAGGTGATTGCAGGGTGTCAATTACCTGAAGGGGTGAGTATCTCCTTTGTTTTGATCCCTATAGGTGCTGCACGGTAGCTAAACTCCTTCTGTAGACCGTCGTCGGTATCAACAGCTGGGTTGCACATGCCAATACTGCGGTGTTTGGAGATGACGCATCGAACTTTCGGCCGGAGCGCTGGCTTGATGGGAAGGAGAAAACTGCGAGCCTAGATAGGTACTTTTTCAGCGTAAGTCTTTACATACTTTTGATCTGGCCAGTCGTGATACTAATAGACCCTTCAATAGTTTGGCATGGGCTCAAGGACGTGCATTGGCAAACATATTAGCCTTCTAGAGATGTCTAAGTTGGTGCCGCAGCTTATTCGCAATTTTGATATCTCGTTGGAAAATTCGCACCAGACTTGGCGAACTACCAACAGGTGGTTCGTAAAGCAAAGTCAATATCCTTGCAAGCTCGAACGGAGGGCAAATTGACAATAATCTACGATACGGAATTGAAAAGGAGTGGCTACGTTTAATTTTGCATTTTGTCCAACAAAGACTGGAATGGAAATTACAGGTGAATTGGGCCTTTATAAAATGTGTCTGAATCTGCAGCTTTGCCCTTGCTAATCCGTAACTGTATATATGTTATATTGGCTCGTCTGCTTTATATTTTCGTTCCCCAGCGGTAGTTTTTGCTTTTATTATTATTGTTTAGTATATCTGGTCGTCTACAGCAGCATATGTAAATTCTGTCACAATAGCTAACAGGCTCTCCCTCGAGTATTATAGCCCCTATGAACGCATTGTCAAGCTCCAAATAGGATGCAAGGAGTATGCTATTCCGGAGAGTTACCTTAGAAATTACCCGCAATTGCAGGCAGGCTCCATTTTTAGGTCAATCATGCTTCCAGATGTCGACGAGGATATTGGGCATACCTTGGTCCACTGCTTATATAAGGGGACATATGAAACTGTCAACTCCTTTCCCTGCCCAGGTACCCATGTAGTACCGCGGGAATTTGAACGGAGAATCCAAGCTTATCGAGCAGCTAAGATATATAAATACATGGCTTGGAAGCACTCGCCAAAAAATACGTTGAAAAGCTCGGGGAATCACTGTCCATTCTCGAAATTTTGCAGGCAATCAGGAAAGTACTTTCTAAGCTTCCTGACGACGAATCCTGGCTCCGTATTTATCTAAACACAAAACCCCAGACCGTTTTTGCTTTAGATGAAAGCACGTTCAAGAGTGATGAGTTTTATCACGGCTTTGGGGAGGATCGTCTCTCTGACGAGGCCGTGATGAGGATTCTCATCAATATTTACTCTAATGAAATATCCTCCCTGCGTTCTCTTGAAAGCCAGGAAAACCGGTTCGAACAGATGACAGATCATGATGGTGAGCCAGATGGCGTTCCTGCAGCTAGGAGGCCTGCTATGGAGACCATTGTTGAACAGCCCGCTGAAGCACAGGCGATGGAGACCAAGGAATCTCCGGTCGAATATGCAGTGGAGGCTGAGGAACCGCCTGTTGAATCGGGTACGTTTGAGGCTGAGGAACCGCCAGTTGAATCTGCAGTGGAGGCCGAGGAACCGCCTGTTGAATCGGGTACGTTTGAGGCTGAGGAACCGCCAGTTGAATCTGCAGTGGAGGCCGAGGAACCGCCCGTCGAAGTGTATGCAGTCAAGGCCGAAGAACAGCCTCTTCCAGCACAGCAGTCCCAACAGTCTTCCGTCAAAGAGGACTCTGGTCCCAGTTCCTCATTCACAGTGTTCCCTGAAGACCTCGGTTTATATATCGACTGGACCAATTTGAAGCGGAAGGAAAAGATGAAAAGAAGGAAAATTCTGAGAGACAAAATGCTGCTGGTACCAGACCTTGAAGATACATTCCCGTTTTGTTTTGGTCTGCAGATGTTCCTTTGATTGATTGATTGATAGAAGGCTGGAGAAGTTTATGATTGGTTTTCCCCTCAGGTGGGTATTCCATTAACAAAGTTGGAGATTGGCTTTATTTCACTGCTTGCCACGGTTTCAGGTTCCCCAATTTATGACTACCAGCGTTACATGAATATCCTCCCGTGCAAGGTAAAAACAGCCCAATTTTAGGTGGATGATTAAATTGATTCCGTTCCGTGACAATAGTTACTCGTATGGAGAAACGGGAAACGGCCTCTCAATCCTTCTTGTCCGACCCTTAAACCGAACGGGTTGCACGGCCAACGGCCAATGGTGATAGTCTAGTCCATACCAACTATACTCCTACTTACCGGAGCCCAGCCTCCAGCATGGAAGGAAGGTCGAAAGCCCAAGGCGCCAAAGGCTCATAGTATGGCGCGCGGATTCCAAATTGGGGTTGATCCTATTAGCCTTCGGACCAGTAAAGCTACAATCATTCCCGCAGAAAGAGCGCCTGCGGCACTAGGACTACAGTCCTTGACGTCAGGACTCAGAGCTGCCTGTTTCTACTAGAGAATAATGGTAGAACTGTTATTTACCATGGCCAAGGTAGCAGCGACTTGATTGTCTTAGCTTTAGTCTAACAAGGACCAAGCAAATTCCCTCGGTGCATTTGTCAGAGTAGGGCTGTTGATCCCATGGTTTCAATCCCTCATGAATTAGGAGATTATACATTGCGAATCGGTCCCGTTCGCCGTCGGTGCTGGACCTTTTGATTAGGACTCCCTGGTTCCAGTCCCTGGGCGATCAATACCTCTTTGTTCACTGCCAACTCTCCCTCAAAATCCATGGACACGGCTTTTCTCCCGTCCTCAATCGGTGCATCATAACACTGTGCGGAGGTAATCAAGCGCCGGTCCCTCTCATAAAAGAGTCGCCCGTCGATTCCTCCCATCTGTCCTGGCCCATCATTGGACGGCAGTTGGGTCAGACGATAGCCCAACAGTCCAACTGCGGTGCTCCAAGTCAGATGGTGGGTCCAGTCTTGCTGGCCTAGTGAGGCCGGCCGAGGGCAAGAGTTGGCCCTGCCAAAGATCAGGAAAGGAAGCTTTATTGGCCCGTTATATTTATCGCCTGAGGAAGTGGGTCACCAACACTGCGGCAGCTACCGCAGTGATCTTGGTTTGTGGTTTAGACCGCTGCGGCCCGACAAGGCTCCCCGCGGATACTTGAGATTCTAAAGTGGGGCTCAGCCAGATTAGCATTGATAACGGGCCAATAGGGCCGACCTTTTCCCCCGCAGACAGAGCGGCTCAGGGCGACCCACTCTTGCGTAAAAGCAGTGACCTACTGCGGTCAAGGCTGCCGAGACTGAAACATTAAAGCTCCTGAGGCGCTAGCACCCCATGCCCTGAGGCCATGGCTCAGGGAATAGCAAAGGGGAAACCCCACCCTTGTAGGAGAGAAGAATTGATACCTATTACCCATCAGTGACCTGCAGGATTTGATGATCTTCTGGCACCGCATTGCCTCTTTTTAAACACATCTAAGGTCTTCTGAGCTGAGGATCGTCGCGACGATCCTCGGCTAATTAAGTGTTATTAATCTTGTCAGCTTGACATATATACACCTCTATTTGGAAGGGGTTCGTTGTGCTACGTGGACTTTCCGGTACTAATGGGATCAAACACGGCCCAATAGTAAACCCGAACGCGATCACATCACGTGTTTACATCCCTGAGACTCCTAAGCCCCGGGAGGCTACGTGGCTGTACTAAAGATTAGTCCCATCAACAAGGTCTGCGAGGTGACTGGTTAGTCATCTCCCCCCTCTCCCCCAATCGGCCAATAAAGTCACCAAGATGGACGAGGCAATATTCAACACCGCCTGAACCACGTGCTCCCGTCACTTCTCACCGCGAGGATGAGGGACGGCACTAAAGTGCAAGGCAATCAAAGATAGCACCTCATTCAGCCGCAGCATCAGGGAATAGACGTGACGCCAGGCACAGTGATCACAATCACCTTCTTCCTAAGTGGCTACTTCATTGTAGCTCTCTACCGGTACTGTTCCATTGTTAGACAGCGTGCGCTTTGTCTGCTCTGAGGGTATGAAATTAAAGACTGTTTTTTTGCATCCCGCACCATCCTATTCCTGACGCTTTGTTTGCTTACTCTCCACGAGGAACGGACAACAGAACTCATCTCTCTACTATAAACCAGGGTAAAATGGCCGTTTTCACACTTTCTGAGGATATTCTGTATCTGGTTTTCCTAAACCTGGACAGCATTGATGACTGCCTTCGCCTGGCACGTTCCTGTCAAAGGTTGTATTCTATGTTCGATCGGTACCGACTGCCGATCCTAAGGTCCATCATAGTAAGGAATCGATCTCTGTCCAAATCATTGTCCTAGCTGATGATCTTTCATAATAGATGCAATCACACACTCATCAGTACGACATTCGGCTGTGCCATTTTATCGACGCTTACTGGGCATGGGCATCTCAATATCTCCAAAATGGCCCCACGGAAGAGCAGCACCCTCCGATTGAGTCTCATTACCGGCCGGCAGTGTTCACAAGCTGCTTAAAAGCAGATACCCTCAGCGACCAACAGGTTTGGGATATTGTGGCTCGCTGGCAGGGACTATCAGTGTTGCGGGACATTTATCAGCTTCCATCCATATTTCAATCTTACTGTCAATCCCCTGTTATTGATTTGGATGGCCATGCGTCCTCTCCGAGTGGGCTCGTTCAAATGAAAGAGATCCTAGAACAGCAGCCAGATGTGGATGTACTGAAGGAAGGTTCCAGCTTTTCGCTTCGGCGGGACGAGGGGATATTCCCGCAACTTTACCTGGGCCTAACGCGCTACTGGCTGTTGTGTGAAGCCATCCGACTGGCGAAGATATGCACCTATCCCCGACAGTCTGAAGAGAATATGGTATGGAATGAGATTTATACTTTGTGCACTAGTGCGAAGTCCCTGCTGGAAGCTATTCAGGCTCTAGAGGCCTATGACTTTACTTTTGACTACCTGATGAGACAGCTTCATTGCGCAAAGATCAACACATTTACGGAGTGGGTAGGGGGTGAAGATTTCCTCTATGAGAATGAGACTACCGAGTCTAACTGGATATTTTTCCTTCATTACCTACGGATCTCGCTTTCTCCGGCCGATGTGATTGAACTTTCCATATGTTCGCATCACTGGAGGCAAAACTCTGGTGAGATCCCGGAGTGGAGTCCCGACCGGAAGTGTCGTTATTTGAAGGAGCGACTATTTTTCGGATATGGGTTCCCTGGGCGCGTGTGGATAAATGATGCCAGAGAGTCACCTGATGAAAGTTATACTGTTAGAGATCTCGAAAAGGCTGTCGAGTTGAAGCTGAACGCGCATCCAACCATATCTGAGCGGCCATCGCAGCAGGTTTGGCAGGATTACCGTCGTGACCGCTGGGTAACAGATGCGAGAGGAAAAGCCTTGTCATGGACACTTTCCGATCAGACGATCGCAGATCGTATCAAAGGGATCTGCTAAATACCTCCGCCGGCTTTTATGTACTTGACAATAAAGCGGCTGGTTGGC